ACAGGATCAAATTTCCAAATAACCAAAGCAGAGGAATTAGTAAGGCACTATCCTTCTGATTTAGATGAGGAGTTCCCTGATGAACTGCAACATTTTCATTCTTTTCCAGTAGATAAGCAGGCGACTGCATTAGATATGATAAAAATGTTAAAAAAATTTAATTTATCTTCATCATTTTCTAATGTTGAGACTGCACTTCAAATTTTTTTATCATTACCAATTTCAAACTGCACTGGGGAAAGATCCTTTTCATTGCTGAAGAGATTAAAATCGCCCATAAGGTCATGCATTCTTCAAAGAAAATTGTCTCAACTTTCTATGTTATGTTTAAATTCGGATATAACGAAAAATATTGATTATAATGATATAATTGATAATTTTGCTGAAAGTAAAATTAGAAAAAAACCATTGAAAAAGAAATAGATATAATATTGACTTGTCATGCAAAATTGTCTCTGTCTCATAACAATATTGTATGTAATTGTAAAATTAAAGTTATATTACGGTACAATTTATAATCTCCCTCTGTTACACTGAATTTCTAATTATGTAATTTTTTCTTCATTTATTGAAAGAATAGTAAATATTGGTTAAAACTGAGTAAGTAATAAACATGTTAAAATTTTGTTGATTTAAAAATAAACATTATCTTTCAAGGTCAATATAAATGTTATTATTTTCAGTTTTTTTTACATAGCAATGGACGGTTGACCGACCATCTAAAGCGAAGCACATATGGCGCTAGGGGGGCCCCCAAAGAGGTTTTTGCCCCGGGCCCCAATTAGGCTAAGTCGGGCCCTGGGTAAGATTTCAGTATTGGGATCTGTTGCAGAATAATCACCTAACTGATAAGTAAATATAAAACTCTGACCTTAATTTATCAAAAAACTCACGGGTAAAAATATCGAATTTTCCTATAAAAAAAAATACGTAGTTTCTACTAATTACAAAATTCTTCATAGAGTAAATAATTACTTTGTTAAAATTGTTCAAGTATTTTTTTGACAATAAGTTAGTATTTACAGTATTTTTGTGCACTTATAATATAATGACCTTAGGTTATAACATCGTTATTTGCCTGGACCATAAGAGTTGTTGCTGTAATTGTCAATTTCAAATGCAACTGTAATTGTCAATTTTAAGCAGAGTTGGCAAAGCTTAGGACAGAATGAATTTATCCAGGGTTTAAACCTGCCTGTCCAAAACCCCTTTGTCTAAAATTGTCCAAAACCCTTTTGTTCAAATTATGTCGCAATTTTAAAATGATGTGAAAAATAAAAGGCTAATTTTTGAAAAATAAACAAAATTAAGACAAATTTTTATTTTATTAAAAAAGTTTATTATTATTTTTAATATCGCGTTATTTAACGTTCTGCAAAAACATAATTTATCACTATTTAAGGGATAAAGTATTCACTTTTTAGGGATCTGTCTGGGTTTTTTTTAGAGGTACCTATTTTGTGAAAATTTAGACATAATTTGTGAAAATAAAAAATTATATTGAAAACTCAACACAAAATACTGTGAAGTACGAAAATATTTTCAAAAATTATCACTTCAAATAAAAATTATTTATGACAGGTAAATTTCTGTATATTTTCGCCATGTGAAAAAGATAATTTTGCTGTTGTAAAATTGTGGTCTTAAAATTGGATTCAATTTTAAAATTCTATAAAAATCATTGTCCATAGTTAAATTTCAACTTGAATTTAATAAAAGCATGCATTTAACAATACTAGTACAAAAAGTTATTTTCATTATGATAACATTTTTGACTGGCAAAAAAGCTCCTCTTTTCCTTAGATTGTATCAAGAACGGGGTCTGCATGAGAACTTGCTTTATTAAAAGTATTATGTGAAACTACAGTTTTTCCTAACGTTGAATATGTGAAAGTACAGCTAAACGGTAGTTACCCCTGCTTTTGTTGTTCATTGAATTATAAAGCTTCAAGAGTTATAAATCTTTTCCTATTATATATTGTAGTATGGTATACTAAATATTAATTAAAATCATTTGTTAATTCTAATCTAATTATCTAATTTCATTATCTAATCATCTAATTTATTTAATCATCAACATTCATCTAATTTAATAATCATTTGTTAATTGTTAATTTGTTAATAATGTAATAAACAGCTTAAATAATTGTAACTGTTAAATTTGTGATAAACTTTTAATTGTATGGTTTTTAATTTCTTCTTTTTACACTTGTAATTAATGTTATTTATTTGTCAGTATTCAATAATTCCTTGCAATAATTTCCTGCAATATTTAAGTTTTAAGCCTCAATTTATTTTGTAACCTTGGGAAAGTAATCCTTCTCTGCATTTATGTTCTTCCTTTAAAAGAAGATTCCTCCTTTTGTTACTTCGCTGACAGCAAGATGTATGTCCAGTCAGCAAACCCTTTTGTTGGATCGAGAAGGAGTGACCCCAAAGTCCGTTTTCCCACGTTTCGGCTTGCATCAAATGCAAAGCGCCCCTTTTGATCTTATGATGGCGCCAAGAATGTTCCAGAACATTCCAGGAAATTCTTTACCAGGTGTGTCACCACTTTTGACAACCCTGCTTCAAGTTTGGCATGGAGCCTAACAATTAATTTCGCCAGTTGGCCAATATTTGCAGCTCTGTGATTTGCCCCTCTGATCCTTCTCCGTCCAACCAATGCGATATTCGTAAAAGTGTAATTTTGTTTGGCGAGGTTTTCCTTGCCTATCTTCATAACGAAGAAACAGTCAGTAGTTACTCTCCCCCCTCATTAGTGTATGCTTATTTCTGTATTCGGCTGAAGCCGTTTTATTTTTGTTGGCATGTTTGCTAAGTTGTCCAGTTTTTAATAATGTTTTCCGTTGTTAATAAAATGGTTATTTGCATCTTAGAGAATGTACCTGGTGAGTAATTTTACAGTATAAGTTGTTTTCTCTTCCTTTTTTTCAGCATGTTCCATTGTCGTCCTTACCTGAAATTTTGCACCCACCTCCAATGTACGCCACTATCATCTTTTTCGGCCTTTACATAATTAGTTTCTAAATTTTATTTAATCTTAAGTTGACTTAATGTTAGTCACCCACCTTTTTCCCCTTTTTGATTTAGCCACACCACATATATTATTTTCTTTTAATAAGTTAAAGCAAATTGTATAAAAAGTAATAAATATTTATTAATGTATGAAATTAGTATGTGTGCAATTGTTACACATATAGAATTTTTACCTTGTATCAATGTTCACTATTTTGGACACTTTAAGACAGTAAAACTGACGTGTCCTGTCCAAAACCAGTTTAGGACATCCAAAATCCCAACCCTGAATTTAAGTGTACTTAAATATACAATTAAGTATTATCATTAAAAATACTTTTTATTTTTTAATTTCCTTATATTAAATACATTAATATTTTAATTTCAATTTCTAATAGATGATCTTGTAAATAGTTCAGCATGGACTATATTGGTGCGTCACCGAGGCGGCAGAATATTTTCTTTAACAGTTTATTGGCACTTGGATTTGATGTGACTGCAATGAGCAAGGAACATAAAATTGTGTTTGACAAGTAAGTAACAATTACTTGTGTAACAATTACTAATATAAAGTGTTTTTATGTATTTTTTCTCTTGCTAATAATTAATTTGATATGACTATATAATCTTATATAGAACAACCTGGTAGCAGAAACTCTCTAGCACAAAAGCGTGTACTGATAATTATTTCCGACATCTGCAGATCTTTTGTTCATTTTGGCAAAAAGCTGTAATTTACTAATAAAGAAACAAAAAGATCTAGATCTAGAAAAAAAAAATTTATCGACAATGTCAACCATGGTATTTTTGTTTGTTATTAAATTCTATTTTTGTAGTGGTAGATGCACTTCATTTTTATCAGTATTAGAAAAGGTTCAGAAATATTTTTTCCTCTAGAAATTGGATATTAAGAAAACGCACTAACCTAAGGGTGCAATACTTGTGACTCTTTGCCATGGTTTAGCTAGAAATAGTGTATCAGCGCACCTGGAAAATCAAGAAAAGTTATGAATTTCAGTATTGAACAAAATTTGTCATGATTTCAACTATTTTTTTTAAAAAAATCGTGGAAAGTCAGATTCAGGTGTCCGAAAAATCTGTTCAGAATATCTGATGTAACAAAATCCTCACTCACAGTCATGTTTTATTAAAATATAAAATGTTTTATCAAGTTCTTTAAAAATTATGGTGTTTTTAAAGAAATAAAAATGAAAGAAAAACGATCGTTTCTAGAGCAAATTACCTTTTAAACTTCTGTGATTTCAGAATTTTTATTATTATTCATTATTTTTTTATTGATTTAAAAGTCTAGCTGAAGCAAGCCATATTGGCAGATTTTTTTTAATTCCGAAATGNATTAAAACGGAGCTCTTAAATTCCTGTTGTCGAAGTGAAATGGAGCAGAGAATTAACATTAAATTTTACTTCAAATTGTGCAAGACAGCTGCAGAAACCTACAAATTGTTAAAACAAGTTTACGGCAAGGAAGCATTATCTCGGTGAAGAACTTTTGAATGGTTAAAAAAGCTTACGAACGCAAAAGCGTGGAAAATGATCCGCACACAGTTCGTACGCAAGCCGGAAGCAATTGAAAATGGTCGCGTCCACACATAGCGTTTGCTGTGAGGCGATTCTCAGCTCAGCGAGTCGCAGCATCCACCATACCCGCCAGACCTAGCACACACTTTTTCCTGTTTCTTAACCAGAAAAATTCACTGAAGGGAACAAGATTTCAGGAAGTCGAAGCCTTCACGAAAACTGCAACGTCACTAATAAAGAGCATTCCAAAAGAGGACTTAAAAACTTCTTTCCGAAATTTGTATAACCGAGTACAGACGTGCATTACGGCTGATGGGGATTACTTCGAATAATATTAAATGGCTATGTGTTTAACTTTTTTTTCTTCTCAGTTATTCCACGAGTCCTGGAAATTAATAGCCAGACCTTGTAAAAATGAAAGAAAAACGATCGTTTCTAGAGCAAATTATCTTTTAAACTTCTGTGATTTCAGAATTTTTATTATTATTCATTATTTTTTTATTAATTTAAAAGTCTAGCTGAAGCAAGCCATGTGCGGATTTTTTTTAATTCCGAAATGAGAACAGAAAAATCTGGAGTGTTTCTTTCCTTTCAGATAAGCAAGAAAAGTATCTTTAGAATAGAATTCTGCATAAAAAAAGAAAAAATATTATTTGCTTTTGTTATTTATTTTTTGTTAAAAGCTGAAAAATTATTTATTTTTCAGCTATTTTATTGCTTCAACTCTTTCTTAGCTCTGTTTTTTAAATTTAAAATCTATAAATATGAAGATGCAGAGTATAGCAGTTTTGGTTATGCACTTATCATTTCAATTAAAGTTAGTATAATGTTTTTTTAAATTTATTGATGTGTTTTTGTTGGAGAAAATATTAACTCTGTTAAATCATGAAAAATTCTTTGAATTAATCCTGGAAAGTCATAGATTTGAAAGTCTAAAATGTAGCAGATTGTTAAAAAATTGTTGATGACAAAATTCAGTTATTATACATTTTAATAAATATTTACAATGTTAATTGAGTACCCTTTCAAAATTTAAAGTGTCCTTTTCAGAGAGAGAGCCTATTTTTTCTCCTGTGCAACTCTGTCATTGTGCAAAATTTACAGATTTTACGTACAATAATAAGATGAGAAAACTTTAGTTGAAATTTTTTTTTAAAGATACGATAAAGACTTAACAGTTATAGTATCTGACAGTTAAGATTGCATATAATTGGAAATTCATAAACATAGTGTTGCAGATTGACTTAATAACTTCTTCTGCCCTTAGTTATTCATTGCATTTAGTTTACATTCTTGTTTATTTCAGGAAAATGTTTCTGCTGCCGAATCGTAAAGGAATGGAAGTTGTAACTCACTTTTTACTCTCTAAACTGAATAAAGAATGTGGAGGAAAATTTAGGTACACACTGTTTAATTTTCAATTATTTTTAATATGTTTAGCTAATTTTTTGCAATTATAATATTTGTGCTTTTAAATAAATAACTAATAGCAATAAATCTGTGTAGTATAGTATGGTACCTGATAATTAAGGTTTTACATAAAATCTTAAAGTGCGTCTAATAATTTGGCCATGGCCTGTAGATACTCTGTAATTTAAACTAAGCAAATATGCTAATCTTTAATGGTTTAAAATACTCACCAGTTCTTACTGAATAAAATCTTATAGTCGCTGCAAAAATTTTGAAGTCTTTCAAAGTTTTTCTTGCAAAAAAGAGGAGAAAAAGGTAATTTAATGCAAATCTTTTTTATTTTTATTCTTCTTTTGAATGAGTTTCCAGTATGCCTCTCAGTTTTTGTCCCAACTGTTTCTAAACTTAAAGCTGAAAACCTTTCATTAAAGATTTAGTTTTTCTATCTTATTAATTGGGAAATATTGCTTAGCAGGAAAATTTCAGTAGAATTTATCAGAGACCTCATGACAGCGGTCAAAGTTGTCCTGATATTCTTGGTAAAAAATTTCAAAAAATAGGCATCCTGATATTTCTGATTTTTGTATGTGTTCAGAACATTTTGGGAGAGCAGGAAAAACCTGGAATTGTCAGGGAATTTTATTTTTACTCCAAAAATCAGGGAAAGTTGCAATTTTTTTTGCAAAAACCTAGAATTCCTATATCATACCTGGAGAATAACCATTCTTAAAATTGTCAGTAATAGTAATCAGTTATTGAGATTCAAGTTAAATAATTCTAAAATTTATTACAATTATTTGTTAAAAAATTTTGCATTTTAGTCAAACTTAAATGTTCCCATCCTCATTTAATAATTTTTTTTTTTACATGGAAATCTAATATTTCACATTATAAATAAAAGAATCAAAGTTTACTGATGAAAATATGTTCTCATTTTTCATTGAAATTTACCTGGAAAATTCTGAAATTGAGTGGGAACCCTGATTTAAATATTGATGCAAAATTTAAAATATTTGATTTTAAAAAAAATATAAGAATTTTTTTTTGATCTATTATTTTATTAATAATGCTATTAAACCAGTAAAATTCAATAAGACCATCTTTTAATTGTATACGTAGCTCACATAATTTCATGGCAGGATTTATTATTTCAAGCATTTTAGGAATTCAGTCATTTTATGAAAAATAAATAATTAAAACAATCATAGAATTTTTATATGGGGAATTGAGGGATCACTCTCTAAATTACTCTGGCAGAAAATGCTGATCTGCATTTTTGTTGAGTTTTCGTTTCGAGATTGTTGAAATTTAACTTGAAAATTATTTGATTAAGGATTAAATTACAAATGTAAATTTGATAACAAATTTTAATAATTTGTTGGTTTGTGAGAATATTAACTAATTTATACTGATTATTATTTTTTTAAGGCAACAATAGTATAAAAGTTTACTATCTATTGATTCTTTATTATCCACTGTTAATAGATTTATTTTGGAAATTGTTGAATCTTTTGCTCTGAGCTAAGTGCCCCAGAAATTAAAAAATGAATATTTTATGGATAGGATTTTCACTTATTATACTTAGAGTAGAGTAGTAATTTATATAGATATATTACGTAGAGTTATATAAGTAGAGTTTTGGTTTGTTCTTTTTAATAGTCTATTTTGTACCCAAAAATGTCCCGATTTCATCATGTGTTAATATCTTTATTTTGAATGTCTCACGTTAGTCCCTTTTGGCAGTACTTTTTCATTAATATACTTTTCCTTCATAACTTTTACAACCATTTCTTCTTTCATCACTTGCTAGCATTTTTCCTGCATTAAAGCATTTTAAAATAGTTTTGCAATTAATGTCTAAAAATAGATAAACCCTGAACTTTTTTTTTTTTTAATTTCATATTTCAGTATAATTTGGCCTCTAATGGATGTTAAAGACCAGAGACAATTTTCTAAAACTACCTTCGAATATTTAACACAGATAGCTCAGGTAAGCTCATACTTTCAACTTTTTTATTACTAGGTTTTTATGTTCATATCATGTACTGCTGGTTAAATTAAATTAGTGTCCATCCCAGTTTTTTAACCCTTAAACTATAATAAAATTTTTTTTAAATAAATTAAACTATAATATTAGGGACTAAGTACTTGGTTCAACATAAACAGGTTTATTTATCTATAGTACTATTCAAGAATACTTTTATTTCATTCATGTTCAATTCTTTCAGCATAGTGGTGATACATCACCAGTGTCAGTAACTGAAACTGATGTTATGCCCTTCAAAACTGTTAATACATTTTTCAGTTATTTTGTATTTTCAATTTAAACTAATATATTTATATTTAAAAACAATTTTTTTTAAAAAAGATGTCTTTTTTATCATCCTGTGATGCAGAAATTATAAAATTTTTTAAAAAAAATATTGTGAAAAATAAAAGGTTAATTTTTGAACAAATTTAGTATTTTTTTTAAGAAAAATTATTATTTTTTAATATTGCCATATTTATCCTTATGCAAAAATATTATTTATCAGTATTAAAAGCATATTTATATTTAAAGGATTAGGTATTCACTTTTGTTGTTCAATGAATTGTGGAGCTTCAAAAATTATAAACCTTTTCCTATTATATTATATTATTTTCTTTTAATAAGTTATAGTAAATTGTATAAAAAATATCAAATATTTATTGATACATGTAATTATTATGTGTACAATGGTTACACCTATAGAATTTTTACCTTTTACCAAAGTTCAAGGTTTTGGACACTTTAAGACAGTTTTACCCAGTTTAGGACAGTTTTACCCAGTTTAAGACAAAACCCACATGTCCTGTCCAAAACCAGTTTAGGACGTCCAAAACCCCAACCCTGTTTGTGACTACAATAGTGTTCTGATTTGCGAGTCTAATGTGATTCGTCTGAAGTTTCAGAGTCTGTGATTTGTTATGCACCAGCCGGTTATCTGTGCTGAAAATTGCTGTATTTTCTGGAAGATTCTACCTTCAGTATTCTTTTCTATTATCAACAAACTTCCAACATCATTTCTGTAAACTGATAGCTTCCTTGTTCATGTTCATATACTATTACGAATGCGTATTGCGTTAAAATAATATTTTTTTATTTTGCGGCTAAATACACTCTTTCAGTTCAATTCATTGTAAATTAAAGTGAAGATATTAAAAGTCCATTGCCTACTTCATTTTAAATTTAAAAAACAATAAAGAATCTGGCTTACTTGAAATAGCATCATTTGCATTAATTTTTAATGTTTTCTGTTTAAGTATTTTTAGTTTTAAATGATTAATTTAACTAGAATTCGGTTAAGTTATATATTGAAATTTATATCGAGACCTTACAATTATAAAATGTTATAGTATGATATGTCATTTTAAAGTTATGAAGCGATAATCTATGTATATATTATTTGAGGATAAAACTTTTAAATCAAAGAACATTTTATTTTGGGATTCTCTGTATTTATGAAGCAAATAATTAACTTGTAACTTTTTCCCTTCCTAATTTGATGATGGTTCATAATGGTTTTCTGATTAGAAGTCTGATTAAGAACTTAAAGATTAAAAGAAAAAAAATTAACACAAATTGAAAATTTTTTATATATGAGAAATTTTTAATGTCAATTTTTCATTATTCGATAAAAATTTTTGTCAAAAAACTTGTTCTACAAAATCAAATGATATAACATTATATGTTTCTGTATACTTTTAATGTTTTAAGTAATTTCATTCTGAAAATTATCGGATGTAAGGTTTAAATCGACTCTTTATATTAGATCATTAAATTTAGTAGAGCAATTTTTCATGGATTAGGATTTCTCTCTAATAAGAATATAGATGCATATTATTTTTCTGCTCTTTTTTACAGATATTTTTCCAATATGTTTTAAATTTTCCTTTTTTAATGAGATTCTATTTCGTTTTCACCTGCATTAATATCCAACATTTTTTTATTTTTAAATTTTGTAAGGCACAATAAGGAAGGGACGTAACCATGCTTCACTGAAGAAATCTAGAGGAACTGAACATGTTCTGCTAGTATTGATTCGACTCAAGTAACAACGCTCCCTATAGGCCGTTGTGTTTGTGGAAATTTGAAACTTACCTAATTACATTTCACGCTCTTGATTTCTGCTAAATCTATGAGCCGTTTCGTTCATTTTTTTTTCTCTTCGCAGTTGTTGATTCCTACATAATCTTTTAAAATCTCAATATTGTTATTATACAGACAATTTAAATAGCACACTATTTGATGCCATAATTCTATAATTTTTGTATGTTCTTTTCTATTTTAAATCTTGACATTTTTGATATGATGTTTATTACAACACTTGAATCTTTGGTGCATCCGAGTCTTGTGATTTAGTCGTAAATACACATGGTTTTATCAATTTTTTTTTCAGTTATTCCCATAAATTTCATGGTTTTTAAACCCTTTTTTTAAAATACTTCTAAAATAGTTTAAACGATAATAAATAGTAATTTGTATTATATTAGCATGTAAAATTTATATTTGTACAAACAATAACAGCGTGGCCACCCACCTTGAAAACCTGGAATTATCTGGGAATTTTTTTTATACTGGAAAAAACCTGGAAATCTGATTTGACTGGCCACCCTGAATAACATGAAATTTAAATTAGTTCTTTTTTTTTCTTCCTTTTCAAGTTGGCAGATATGTATTTGTAAAAAAAAAAAGTAGTGATATTTTATTTTTAAACTAAATCTTATAATTTTTCTCTTTTCTTTTTCATAGGTGTCAGAGATCAAATTCCCTCCAGTTTTAAATTCTGTTTTTTCTTCATTTGGTGGGACAGCATTTTTTGATTTGTACTTGGCTTTTTCCACACATGTTGTCCAACAAGTAAACAAAACCTTTGGACCAATGCTCAGGAGACCGAAATTCGATCCTAAACTCACGAAACATGCCATCGAAATGCTGAAGCTGACCTCCATTGCAAGTGTTGAAAAATTTCGGTCATTAACAGATACGACTAAATTTCATTTGGAAGCTTATTTTTGCATTGCTAAGTAAGTTGCTTAACTAATGGTATGACTTATTTCATTTTTTTTAAATTTATTTCTTTTAATTCTTTATAAATGTAATTTTTATATTTTAAGTAGGGATGGCAAGTTTCTTCAACTGTGAAAAAGTCCTCCCTTGAAAAATTATATTTCTTTTAACCCAGGCAGAAGAAGCTTTTTTTTTTCAAGAGGAAATATCAAATATCGAGACAGTTTATAATTCTAATCTAGTTTAAATAATAGTATTAGTTTTCAAGCTATTTAACTTATAATTTTTAAACTAGCAGAAACTGAATAACAACAATTGGAAAAAAGGAAAAAAATTAACATTTTTTTAAGAAATTAAAATAACTAAGTTTACAATATTTTATTTAAATTAGTATGTTGAGATAAAATTTTATAATTATATAAGGAACTGTTAAAATAATGTAATCACATTTTAATAATACTGCTAAATAAATCACATATTAAACCTATGCACTACTAAAAAATATGTATTCCATTCATAATTCAAATAGCATAATAATTTTGATTAAAGACTCTTAAGCATGAATGCTCAAACTAATTCTTAAATAATATATATGTTTTTAAAATTCCATCTAAAAAGTTTATTTTTTAAAGTAGGTGTGAAAAATTTTATCTTTCTGGTACTACATTAAATTTAATTTGTTTGAATTTAAGGTATTTTTTTAATCTTTCCAAAAAAAATTTTTTTGTTGTTGTTCTTTTTTTAAAACATGTCTTTGAAGAAATTCCGGATGACTTTAAATATTTCTAAGTTTGTTTTATAAACATACGTATGATATCAATCTGTCTACTAATCAATTTATTTCATTTTATTGAGTTGTAAATAATCTAATATTTATTTATTTTTTTCTCAAATTTATCTTTCATTGTATTATTTGATATTTAAATGATGCAATACTGCATTTGTTTTTAAAATTAATTTTATATTCTGATTAAAATTTTCTAAATTTTTTAATTTGAGTAAAAATTCTAAAACTGCATAATTAAGATTAAAAAAGTTAGATTATCACAATAAAATCTGATGTCTTTATTTATCTTAATGAATGTGACTTTGAAAAAATTTAGTGTTAATTTAATCTATAATTTGAGATTCAAATAAAGCTCTCACAAAAATGATAAAAGCAGTACATTATAATCTCAAATTTCTTTATCAAGGGAAAAAAAATTGAATTTTTCAAAAAGAAAATTTTTTATTTTCTTTGTCTCTAATAGGGAAAATATTTCAGAGAAAAATCTATTTATGCTAATATTTCTTTCCTCCATATTAATTTTACTCGTTCATTATCGTATTATCCCAATTATCATAATAGTCTTAGAGTTGACCTATCTCAATATTTCCTGCATTATGAAAACATGGTGACTTGGAAAAAGATGGGTGAAAGACTTGATGGATGATAGGCTTAAAAAGGCTCTGTTGACTACTTTTGACCAATAGGCTATAGATAAATATTCAATTATATTTTTATGATGAAAATTTGCAGATACAATTAATCACTTATGATTTTTTAATTATTTTTTTAGGAAATTTTATGATTGTGTTGAAAGGCTAGAGTTATCAAACTCAAAAAGCCAATCTTTGTTAGAAGAAAAAATCAAGGCAGCCATTAAAATTTTGTAAGCTATCAAAAATTTTGATTTTTAAAATTAGTCTATCAAAACTATTTATTTATGTGTTTTTTGTTTTATAGCCCTAATTTGGTTGAGAAATCCCTAAAAGGATTAACCATGAAAAATAAGGAGCATCAGAATAACGTGAGTAATTTGTGTTGAATTGAGTACTATTGATATTATATTTAACCTGTGCATGAAATTCCAGTTCAGTATGACGACCCGACATGGCAGAAGCACCATCTGTTGCACAGGCACTTACATTTGTAAGGGGAATTTCTTTTTCCTCAAAATAATCTTTGACCAATTTAAAAATCTGCGATCCTTTTGTGTCAGTGATCAAAGTCCCTGTAAACAACATTTCCTCGTTAATCTCCTGGCTTAACAATTTATGACTGTGGCAGTCTCATTTGTGAATCTCACGTAAGCTAATGCAATAGCTTTGTTATCTATCACAGTTGATTCATCAATCTGCAACGCAAATGTACCTTCTTTCAAAAATTTGATCAGTTTTGATTCAACGTCTGCGGCCATCTCATAAATATATGCCTGGAAACAGTATTATTGCTCAGAGAAACAGAGTGACTTATCTTATAGCTCGATCCCTCACCCAACATGATTTCAACAATTTTTTAGTAGCAGACAAAAAAAGTTTAGCAATCAATAAAGAAACTTCGTAGGAAGCAAGAAGATCTTAGTCAAAATCGGTTGTTTGTTTTTTTAAATAGTTCATTCAAATGAAGCCATTTTTCATATTTAGATTTCAGATCTTGAAAATAACTTAAAGGTTTGCTTACTTTAACACTATGTATTCTCAATGAATGGTCTCTCATTCGCGAGGATTTCATCGCCTCATTACCAGTGAATGTTTTAGCACACAAAAGACTATATGGAAACTGCACGTTTTGCAATGACGCGCTAAAACCGAATTTTAAATATTCGGATGAATACTGATGCCACTTCCTTTTTGAATCTATTGACACTTCAATATAAATGCATGGAAGCTATAACTATAAAAAATAAGCTAACAATTTAGGGCTGTGGAAAACAAGCTAACAATTAAAAACGGTGAAAAACAAGTAGCAATTAATAACAATAAAAACAATTAATAACAGTCTAAAACAACTTGACAATTAGTAGTCAATAACTGATTACGAAATTAAAAAAACAATTAAGCGATGCAAGGGAAAGAAAACGATTTAAGAACTGCTCAAGAGTAAGGGCACTGTAGCAATGGCGAGGAGAGTCGAAGAGTTGGCTGACCTGTGTAAAAACATAGCCAAAGCGCCAATTATTTAGCCTTGGAAACTAATTCATCTCCTACATGTTTCAAGATAAAATCGTCTTACTATACAATATATCTTTATAATTGTGCTCACACTAAAACTGTAATTCCAAGAAAATGCAGAACTACTTTTCAAAAGCATAGTGTTACATTTCCCACATTTCTCTCTACAACTTTTTTTTAGTTCTCAGGTCTATAAGAAACTGGTCTGGGGATGTCTGCTTCTATGGTTACAAACGAGCACATTTCAAATGGGGGTGCAGTAAAGGAATGAATGTGACGATTGGTTTACCTATGCTAAGATTAAGACAAAACTATTCCCCTCACGCTCACCTACACAAAGTGAATTTTCCTTGTAACCATAGCACTAGCAACGATGCAACACTGATGTCTGAAGTTTTCCTGAAAGCCATATTATAACTGCCAAACCTCCGGGTTATCTAGCGATAAATGTTTCGTCTATCAATATGTTTCTCCTATTACATGCCTTTTAAAATCGGAGGGCAGGGAAGGAGACGAGAGAGGAATGTTTGAGGAGAAGAAGGTATATAAAAGACCATGACTTTCAACAAAAAAGAAGTCTTGAAGGTCAGATTTCCAACTGCAATACCAAAACGTATGACAAAAACGATCCTTAACTTGAAATTTTTTAATTTTTAACTATCATAATTCTTTGTCTACACCAGAACCATAAGTTTCATATATGTTTTCAATTTCGATCTCAAATAGCTTATGTTATTAATATTATTAGCAATTTTTATCTTTTGAATGCTCGTTGCCCCCCTAAGGATTATCGCCCCAGGTTGGGAACCACTGGTCTATATTGAACAGTTGATTTGCTACTTGTGACTACAACATTATTCACCTCCTTGCGCTGTTTCTACTCAGTTTCGATCGCGCACTATGTCAGCCTCCATATACTCTACTGCTAATAGCAACACAGGAGCAACCACCACCGTGAACTTAATGCAGCTCACACAATCAGTAAAGTACAGTGATCTTAATACGGCTCTCCTGGCTTCGCATAAAATAGCAATGAATCAACTAGTAGTATCCATTCATCAAATTCTATCACAGCTCCTATCTCCTATGTTTCCATACTATAAACACTTCGTATTTGTATACTGCAGCCTTTTGACACTTTAATGAGCCTACTTTCTCTCTCCCTTTGGTACCATTTATCCGTGTCATCTGGCATTCTCTACCATGTTCATACAATCTAAGCACAGCTACAAATTTTATTTTACGATATTTCTGAATATTTACATGTTTGGCTGTGCTTGTAAGAGTAAAAGCTACATACTCAAAATTTTTGCATAAGCCAAGCTTTTCATGCTATGTAATTTTTTAAGCCTGGAAAATTCATTGGCTATGTCTTAGTTTACTTATTGTTACAGTAAATTTTATGACATTAACAGCAAATTAGTGTATTTATTTTAACTATATCTATTACTATTATCTCCTGTAAAAATTCTGCTGCGACTTGGTTACATTTCCATTGATTTATTAAAATTAAAACATTAATTGATACCAAATACTCAAGTTTAAAAATTTATGGATTTCTATTTTTTCCCCAAATGCAACAATTATTTGCAGTTTAGCAAAACTATTCAATTAGTTAGTAATAATTGTTTTTAAAAATTAAATTTTCATCTTTAATGTTTTTTCTTAATCACAAGTTAAATATTTGACTGATGTGTGATTCTACTAATAAACTATATAGCATTGAGTATTTTAATTTTTTCCTATTCTTATGCAAAGTATTGCTTTTTACCTGTAATTTGTATACTTGTGTATTTTAAAATATCTATGTTGAATCTCCATTCTGTGAAATTCTATTCCTAAAATATAACATTTGGTATATTTTCTAAGAGAAATTAATTTCCATTCATTTTTAAATACAATTTATGTATATATGTATAAATATATATATCACAATAGATAAGTACGAAAAGAAAAAGTAGAAAAACTATGAAATGTTTTTTTTTTTTTTTTTACTGCGCATAAGGTGCAAGTATATAGAACTCATGAAATAAGTTTAAAATGCAGAGAAAATGTAGAAAAAATTACAGAAAATGAAAAAGAAAATTATTTTTAAAAAATAATTGTAATAAAAGATTAAGAGATCTCTTTTTTTCCGGATTTTTATTATAATTTTTATCTATTTTTTAAATAATTTTCATTTTCTGTATCTTTTTTCATGTTTGATCTAGATTTTGAACTCTTATATATATATTTCTCATGTTTAATTTTACAGATTGATGTTCTTTGGAGAAAAATTGAGGCTTTCCTCTCAAAAGAAGAAAAGATGTGGAGCTTTATTTCTTCAGAATTAGAAGACAGCGCCAAACCCATTTTAAGAGGCGGTGCCTGCTCTTTTAACCTTTCCAATAACCTGAAAAATTGCTCTGAGGACAGATACCCAGTAATTACTATTTTCTAGTTTTTGATGTTAAAAGTTTGTTCCTTTATACTAATCTTATAAACTTAATATCAGTGGTAAAACTAGAATTTCATACTTAATTTAAAAAATTGACCATTATACTATTTCATTTAAAATAAATTAGTTTTTTATTTAATATAAGTTTAAAATCATTCAGTATTTTATTTTTAATTTTTTTTTCTGTGTTGATTGTGCATCTTATAAAAAGCAATAAAAATATTATTATTATTTTTTTTTTTTCAGAGCTGAGATTTTCCCGCTTTTTCACTTTTGTCTCTCGGATTTCAGCCTTTTAATCGAAAACTCTAATTCTCTAAGAGTTTCGCTTTTTTTTTTAATATAAATATTTTGTTTTTTCAAAAAATTCAGCCTTTGAAATAAACTAATTATATTTATTTCCGATTTTCAAAGATGAACAGAAAATTCAAACTACATGGCTATTTTTTACGCGCAGAAGATAAGATTTTCCGCATTTTTACCCGGTCCCTAGATAGCTCGTATTTTTGTAATTCAAACGACGCTGAAGCCCGGAATCTGCTGATGCCTCGATTCTTATACATGCGATTTTAGTATCAACATGGCTTTTCTTATTTATGTGATTTAAAAGTGCGCGTTGCGATTCTTATTCACTCTATTTGAATATTGTTCGTTGCGATTCTTATTTACAAGATTCAAAATTCCTATATCGCAACTATTTTTCTATCAACCATTATTAGTATATGTGGGCATTACAACATCAGCGAAACTGGAAGAAAATATATTACAAACTTACATTCTGTGCTTGCAAAGAAGAAAAAGTAGGATTTGTCAAAAGATGTTAGAAGATAGGCTAACGACTAAATTAATCACAAATCTGTTTGTGTCAGTTTTGCTATTACTACAAGAATATATAAAACTTTTCCCAACTCGATCAACCCTCATTCACAAGCTGCATTACATGCAATTTGATCTTATTAAAGGATTTTTCGCTTGTTTTGTGAAACATGAAGCATTTGCAGCAATCCGAAATTAAACAAAGATAAAAATGAAGGATATAGCAAACAAAAGCAATAATATAAAAAGTGATTAAATTTTTTTTTGAAAAAAGAGTTAATTAACTCTGCACCAAAATTTAAAAAATAATGTTGCTGTAAAATGTAAAATTCTTATGAAATAAATATCTAAACAGTTGCTGATTATCATGCAATTTTTCAAACTAAAATAATGTTAAGGAGTTAATATATATTACTACTTCACAGTTATGTTTCACAGGGATCTAGCTAGATTAGGTTGTAATCTGAACATAGTGATTCCAAATGAAAAAAATTTGTTTTCTTTTCGAAATAATTTAAAAAGTCATGTTACTGATATATTTGCTATAAATCACAAAACAGTATTAATTAAAAGAAATGGAATGTTAATGTATGTTCTCAGTAATTTTAATTTGCTAAATCAATCAGTTTTTCACATGATAATTGTCTCATATGTGAACTGAAGAAAAATATAATTTATAGCTTTATTTTTTTAATTCGTAATTTTACTTTTTTCTAAATGTTAAGTATCGATGTAATCATTTATTTAATAATAAATTAGTAAACAATTTTATGTCAACACATTGTTATTAATTATCTTTAATTGTCTGGCATTTGATATTAAACGATTGCATGTGCGTAAAATTTACTCACTTGGAAATTCAGCTTTTTGGCCAATCATCATCCCTGTTTTTTTAATAAAAAAGTTGGTGATATTTTTGTGAAATTTTAAACTTTCATTTATAAAATATATTGTTGAACTATGCAATTTAATTTTTATAGTTCGAATTATTTTACAAATTATGAGCATAACACTAATTAACCGTTAGAATGCAAGACAATTCAAACAGTTAGACAAGAGGTAGTTATTGTTTAAAAATTATTACATACGATGCGACTAATTTACATGTAATTAGATCTTATTTACTGCTTTCCGTTCTATGTAAAATATTAATAATTAATACTGTTCCAAGTTATTGTTTCATTCTAATATTATTTCAAGTTTTCAATTAAATTGACAGCATTTAGTTTTAATTAAATATTTCTTTAAATTAAAATATCTTATGTTATAAAAATACACTTTATAATCAATTTTTATTATTTAGTATTTTAATTTTTAACGAATCAATTTTTTTATTTTATCAAAAAGCCCACAATGGGCTGATCGTGAGACAGAGTTCCCATTTGGTCACCGAAGTAGAGCATCACTGGCTGCTCTTAGTGTTCAGGTGGGTGACCATTTTGGTCAGCCTGCAAAGGGACCAAGGGTGTGCGGTATTGGTCCTCATTATCTTCGAATCATCCTCTGGGATGTTTCCCAGACATCGCCAATAGCCCATTTTGCAGCTCTAGTGCGACATCAATAAATGTGAAATATTGATAGTTAATATTGTTCTAAGTTTTTAATTAAATTTGCAGCATTAAATTTTAATTAAATATTTCTTTAAATTAAAATATCTTGTGTTATTAAAATTCACCTTGTAATGGATAATGTGAAAAATTTCATGAATTTTCAGGGTCTAAGTCTCTAAGTAGTCTCCTCTAAGGTTTTTTTTTTAATGTCTCTAAGTATGATTTTATAGTCGGGGGTCTGTCCAGACATTTTGTGAAAGGTCCGGTTTTCGTGATATTGTGAAAAAATTACTCACATTCTTTCAGCTAGGGTCCGCTTTTATGAATGTGTGCAAATAGGGTCCAGTTATTGCAAGAACTTTTTCAAGGAGTTTTTAAATTCAAGGAGTTACAAGATTATGCTCGGCACTGTAAAATTATAATAAAAAAATAAAATTTTCAAAAATAAACAGCAATTGCTGCTTCTAAATGAGAAATGCAACATACAAATATTTGGTATTTAGCCTATACTGCTGAAGGCAGAATATTCATTTCGGACGAAGAATGGAAGAATCGTCTGCCGAAGGCAAAACTTAATTCGTTTACATCCATCTTTCTCGTTTTCTGCCCTGGGAAGGGTTTATTCAATTAACAAAACAATAATGAAGATAAACAAATTTGTGTTGGGTCCGATTAAAAGAAAAATCATTTTGTGAAGGGTCCGTTTTTAAGTTAAAATATTTTGTGAAGGGTCCGTTTTTATGAAAAGATATTTTGTGAAGGGTCCGTTAACGGACCCAGATTTCTTCTAAACAGACCCCTGATAGTTATACCGTTTAGGAATAAAAGATATTTGGAAGTAAAATAGGGTTCATTTAAATTTGTGTGCTTTTCACTTCATTCTTTCTGGCTATGCCTTAATTAGCATTAAGTTATTAAAAAAATTAATTTATTTAATTTAACATTAATTATTAAAACATTTAATTTATTAAAAAAGCATTTTAAATCAATTTTATGTATTTAAATAACTAATGAAATTTAATAAAATCTTTTTCCAGTTCTAAAAAAATAAGTATAATAAAACTTAATGTATATTCAGGACTATTATGCTTTTTGCAAGATACAGTAGTAGACAATTAAAAACTAAAACTTTCAGATTCTTTGGTAATTTTGTCAAAATTTTAAAAGCCTCAGCATGAGAGACCTGGAACAAATTGACTTTTCATATAAACTTTTAAATCATTTGCATGTAGTTGTGTGGTAAATAACTTTAAAACAAATTTACAAAACAGAGAATAATAAATCTTAAATTTATTTACTGTTAGAAGATAATTTGATACCAAACTGTTGGATTCTCTTAAGGCAGTCTGGAAAATTACTCGGTATTTGATATCAAGAAATTTGTACACAGTATTTTTGGTTTTTCTCAAAATTGCAGATTTGTAATATACCCCCTTTCAACAATGATCTATTGAATTTCTTTTGCAGGGAACCACTGATAATTATTTTTTGGTGGTCAGAGACAAATTTTAGTGGTCTCGGACCAAGGAACCAGCATTTTTTTTCTTCGAACTCTTTATTATAAAGTGTTCTAGATTTTTTTTTTAATTAATTGCATAATTATTCCAGTGTTGAATTCTATTACAATTTTCAGGAACTTCGAAATCAATTGTCAGAAGAAGGAAATCAATTAAGCATTCCTCAGTAAGTTTTTGATGGAAATTGTTTTTGATTTATGCATGTTTACATTTGGTATACATTACATTATACATACAATTACATTTGGTATAAAATTGTTGTTGTCAAAGACCATTAAGGCAAGAGGTGTGATTGCTTTTGTTTTCCAGTGGCGCCATCTATGGCTAAGAGTTAGACTTCTGCCACGCCCATATGTCATCCGTTTATAGGGCGGATCCATTCATTCATCGACATATTGTAATTTTGACCTGAACCAGAGAACGATCAATCTCCAATTCAGAACCCCCAGAGGTATAATTTGTTATGGGAACATGGTGTACTTTGTGACCCGACATATTTAATGTGCACCAATCACCATTTACTACGTGGGGAGTCTTCAACCAGCTGAATTTGAATTCTCGTTCTCACAAACCTTAGTCCATTTCCCAGCCAACCAAGCTATCCCGGCCTTTCTCTTTGTATATACTATATTTTATATACATATAATGAGGTCTATCACTTTTTGTTCAGATTCTCAAGCCACTACAGAGAATAAAAATGAAGTAGGCCTAAATGAACCATAGTTTAGATTAGTCAGCCGGCAAACAATTTTAGAACAAAAGATCAAAACCCCTTTCGGAACAGAGATTCGAAAATTGTTGTTTCCGAACAATAAAATGTCTAGTGCAGAGATTGTTCGATGAAAACACTTAAATGGATCCAAGCTCTCTTTATTGTAGCTCACATCCAACCACATGGTAGTTGTGGGAGAAGTGTCCACCCCTTTTGGTGACTAAATTATAGCAGAGAACACCCCAGATTAGACCAGTATTCACCGCATCTGTCTCTTTGTCCGAACAATGGAATATTTATTTGCATTTACACATTATAGATTTAATGTGCCCCAGTCCCCATTTACTACGCGGGGACTCTTGGACCAACTAGATTCGAACTCTTGTTCTCAGGAGCAGGAGTCCAGCACCCTGCCAATGGGATAGTCCTTGCTGACCAGGGTAGTAGTACTACTACTATCTTGACCTACAAAATTGTTAAAAAATAATTTTTTTTTAATATCTCTTAAAGCTTTTGCTTTTAGTTGTCTTTAACTAAAATTACTTATCATACTATTTTAATAAATTGCATTGTAATTATTTTGCATTTTTATTTATTTTGTATTCTTATTTCTTTTGTTTTTTATTTCTTTTGTATTGTTATTTATTTATTTTTGTTTTTTGATTTATTTATTACATCGAACTTTCCTTTTTAGATTTCTCAAATTGTTCACAGTAGTTTTAGAATTTTATGTTGATAGTATAAAGAAAGGTAATTTTATTTTCATAAATTTATTAACTAGTGTTAAAAAAATGTTTTAAGTAATAAAATATATATTACTTTCTTAATAACTAAGTATCTTTTATTGATTACTGTGTAATTATTTTCCCCCCTAATCTGCAATAATGCTCGTAACATAAAGGTAACCATTGAAAAGAAAGAAAAAATGGAATTTAGGTATAAGAAAAATGTGGATTCTTGTCTGTGCTCTGTATGGATAATTTAGCAGCTACACTCAAATAAGTTTTAATCAAAGTTATGTAAAATTTTTATTTAACATTTAAAATTGTCCCAATTTTAGGCACGCATTAAATATTTCTTTTATTTGGTCTATCTGTCTTATAAGAATAATTTATTTTCTGAAAGTTAAGAAATTATTTGTGTAATTTTTTTTTTTTAAATTAAAGATATTATTCCTTAACGGACCATTTAAGCGGCATGGCATGTTTGCTTACTGTGTCCAATGATTGTAACAAAAATGTTTTTTCTCTCGTTAGTTAAAAGTTGTTCTCTTATTTGCAATTTATTTAATTATAAATAAATATATAATTTTAATTAATGATTATATATTCTTCTGGATTATTAAGGACTAAAAACTTGAAAAAAACATGCACATTATTTCATTAAAAAAGTATATTTTATGGATGAGACGAACTTATACTTTTTTAGCATCCAGTTTATTCAACTAAATCTGAGATAGATAGAATTACTAACAATTTTACAATTAAGAGAATATAGCTTATCATTAAAGTTATATTCATTTTAACACGTAATTAATTCTAACATTGGTTGAAGTTATTTTCCTTTTCATTTAGATATGAAAGTTTAAAAGTTAAATTAGTTTAACTAGTATTTAAGTGGTTAGGTAATAAATAATTGGATTCATATTAAAAGTAATTGAATTTTCCATTATTAGAACTTTTGTAACATAGAAATTGTTACAGCAGTTGACAAGATTTTAAAAAGAAATTTTTTTAAATCATTCTGTATCAGAGTCAGGGCGCTTAGCGTTTTTAAAAAGTGCTTATTTCCGATTTTTGTTTTTTAAGAGCTCTTAAAGGTGCTTTTTTCATTGGGTGTTTTTAAAAAGTTCTCTATTTTCCCCTTACCCTGTTGATTTTTGCCACGTATTATGCAAAGAGACACTGTTCATATTGTTCTATTCAACGTTTTCACAATTAATTCAACCCCAATCTATTTCGGCGTACCGTCGGTCCTTAGCGTATCAAAACGCCATTTTTATGATTCAAAATTTCATGATTTTTTAAAATTGTCAAAAACTATGCTAACATTTCTATTTATTTATTTATTTTTTGGAAATGGCGGTTAAATCCAGATAAGACCGTCAATTGCAGGGATGCTACGCCTGCGCCATTTGCGACAAACTGAGACAAAACGGCATAACTGCGCCATTTTGCGACATTCAGCTCAGTTTCTGCCAAAGCTGCGCCATTCTGAGACAAAACGTCCAAAATTTGGCAAACCTGAATTCAGTTTCAAATATTAATCCGCATTGCCGTGAGTCATTGTAGATCATTTTGCCGTTCACGTCTCCAAGGGATGAAAGACTTCCACGAAAAAGCGGAAATCCGCTTTTTTCTCCCAATTTTTAAAATTTTCGACCATGTTCCAAAAACTAAAATTTTTAGGGACCCAAGCCGCCGGAACGATAGTCGGATTCCCGCGACTTCCGCTATAGAGTGGAAAGGAGTCTAAGTGTTTCGTTTCGACCACCGATATATGATTTTTTTTCTCGTTTGGCTGATTTTCGGAATTTTAAATATTAGGAATTGCGCTGGAATATGCTAAAATCGCGATTTTTAATCAGACGATTTTAATATCAATCATCGATTTTCGTATTTAACTTATTTAAAACTTATGTGTTGCGACTTTTTTTACGCTGTTTAAAAATCGTACTAGCAATTCCTATTCACTCAATTTAAAAATTCAATATCGCGATCTGTATTCTCGCGAGTTTAAAATCCAACGTCGCGATTCGTATTCACGCATTTTTAAATCCAATATTGCGATTCGTTATCACGCAGTTGTAATATCAGATCTCGTTTTTCGTATTTGTACGCTATTTAAAAATTACTCATTGCGATTCGTATTCACGTGATCTAAAAATTATTCATCGTGATTCTTATTTACGCAATTTAAAAATTCAATATCGCTATTTGTATTTTCGC